GTTTAATGTGGGGAAAAATATGCACATCCTCAACTACATGTGTTGGAGACAATATGAAAATCCTGGGAGAAAATTCTGGGGAATTAGTATTGGTTTCTACCCGAATTCGTATGTGATGATGTGCGATCCGATGTGCTACTAACAACCCGAGTTCAAGACAACGTAGAAAATTATTTAATAGGCATCTTGGAGTCCAAGAATTGCACTAGCTTGACAACACAACGCTGCAAGACATTGTGAGTTTAATTCACTGAGTTACAATTTGAGACAGATATTGTGCCAAAATTAATTTTATTAATGATTCATCGTCATGTCATGAATCACTCTTCTTTGCGCTAATGATTTGCGTATACCTGTGCCTTGGTCTCGAGTCGAAACTATCCACTTGTGGCTCCCAAACTGTGTCCCAACTACGAACACAATGATTTGTAAAGCACAGAAACAACGTTAACGTAGACGCTGCCAGCGAATGGACGGAAGATATCAGCATGTACTGAATAAATATCAGTTCGATGGTGCGGCAGGCGAATCGCTCCTGAAAAAGTTAGCAGGGAGGATAATTATTCGTGGGATTGGCTGGGGCTGCCCTGGCCCACATTGTGGTTGGTTAAGAACCAGTTGACTTTACAGACACTACGAGGCTAACGAGTCCGGCCAATGAGCATACCGTATATACGACGTGTTAGACACTGCACATTTAATGCTGGGGGAAAATACGCACATCCTCAACTACATGTGATGGTGACAAGATGAAAATTCTGGGAGAAAATTTTGGGAAATTACTGTTGGTTTCTACCCGAATTCGTGTGTTCATGTTGGAGTCGTCGCGTCTCGAATACAGCGGAGGAGCGAAGCGTTTCACGATGTGCATTAAAAGTGTGGTTGTAGTTGACGCGAGCCTTGCATGAGAAGGACGAGGTGTTGTCGAAATTGAAGGATCTCGAGAACGACTATGCAACACTATTGATGACAACACTATTGATAACACTATTGATGACAACACTATTGATAACACTATTGATGACAACACTATCGATCGATCTCATAAGTTCCCTTCCCCGAACACGTCATACCAAGCTGTAACCAATGGAAACCCAAAGCCGCCGAGATGAATGCTCTTTCAATAGAAACTTCGTACTCCTGATAATGAAGTGATGAAGGAATGAAATAGAATTTTTATACCAACTACTGCTGGTCTCGGTCACTGCTGCTGAAGAAGAACTTGTTATGAAGAATCTCTCGTCTCCAATCGAAACCACAAAAACTACAAAATTGATTATTTTCATTTCCCTCAATGACCGGCTCAGGAGGCAACAATGAAAAATCCGGCAACTCTTCTGATGGGAGATCCCTAAACACAAGGAAAATATCTTCGAAATTTGGAGTTGGAGAAATATGTAAGTTCGCTTTCCTCAACTGAGCTCAGGACTTCCCTCACAGGAATGTATAGAAAGCAACAAGACTTCTCCGAAATTATGCTAGAATTCTCATTATATTGTCACCAACATATGTACAGTGTTAGAGTAGGAATATATGTCCGCTTTCCTCAGCTGAGCTCGGGAGTTTCCTATACAGTGTTGGAGTGGGAATATGTGTCCGCTTTCCTCAGCTGAGCTCAGGAGTTTCCTATACAGTGTTGGAGTAGGAATATATGTTCGCTTTCCTCAGCTGAGCTCAGGAGTTTCCTATACAGTGTTGGAGTAGGAATATATGTTCGTTTTCCTCAGCTGAGCTCAGGAGTTTCCTATACAGTGTTGGAGTAGGAATATATGTTCGCTTTCCTCAGCTGAGCTCAGGAGTTTCCTATACAGTGTTGGAGTAGGAATATATGTCCGCTTTCCTCAGCTGAGCTCGGGAGTTTCCTATACAGTGTTGGAGTGGGAATATGTGTCCGCTTTCCTCAGCTGAGCTCAGGAGTTTCCTATACAGTGTTGGAGTAGGAATATATGTTCGCTTTCCTCAGCTGAGCTCAGGAGTTTCCTATACAGTGTTGGAGTAGGAATATATGTTCGCTTTCCTCAGCTGAGCTCAGGAGTTTCCTATACAGTGTTGGAGTAGGAATATATGTTCGTTTTCCTCAGCTGAGCTCGGGAGTTTCCTCGCTAATTATATACAAACTCGGCTAGAAGTTTTCAAAAGGCAACGAGAAATCTCCCAAAATTTCCTCAAATTTTCATATTGTCACCAACACATGTAATTGACCATGTGCATATTTTCTCACACCAGTATTTACAAATTGAGTAAAAAATATTTCCCCCCAAAAAATTCACCTGTCACCGCTAACTCCAGAGATACGGACTGCTTTCTCTCTTCTAGGTTCATGTTGGAGTTCTTCAACATCCACATTTGTGCTCAAATCGACATCACCCTTCACTGGTGTCACCGCATCATCAGTGAGCTTGGGCGTTTTAGGTCGTGACCACCCGAGAGCTTCTATTAAATCATCACAGCTCACCGAATACTGTGAACCCAACTCGACCGTGCCAGCGGGCTTCAACGTCAACAACTGAGTAAAAACAACACAAAATCGGAAAATTTTACCCATTTCCTTCCTACCTCAAGAGGATATACACCACCAGAATTTGCACTCGACAACTTCTTCATCACTTCTCCCATATACGCCGCCAAATCGACACTCTAAAAATGCGTTGAGGAAATGCAAGATTTACCAAGATTAGCAAGATTCTCCTCCTCCTTACCGAATCGAAATACAAACAACTTGCCGCGGGTCTATTGTCTCTCGATAGAGGATCGAACAAGGCCGGGAAGATGGGCAGGTCCGCGTCAATGTACGACATATAAACGCCAAAACAATCGTCACTATTTGACGTGTTTATGATGCCCTACAGGAATTAACAATTATCAACATCCGATGTGGACGATTATACACGTGTAAAAACGGTCCGATGCACAAGCCTGTGACAGTATCACTCGGAAGGTTCATTATATAGCATGGAGCTATATCACCCACGATATAAAAAACACATTTCACAGGTGAAAAACGCGTAAAACACATGAGAAATACTCCTCATCAATTTCAATTTCGCTTCTACGTGGGTAACACATGACTTGCATTTTTCATATCAAAATTTTCATCCACAAACTATACGCATACCAAAATTCCAGCATTTCGTAAACACAGCAGACGGGTTTTAATATCAGCATTTACTCACGGTGTGGGAGGAAAATATGCACATGGTCGAATACATGTGTCGGTGACAATTTTCTGAGGAAATTTTTGGGAATTTTTCATTGCTTTCTGTATACTTCTATTTCGTATCAGCTGAGGAGCTCAGGTGAGGAAAGCGAACATATATTCCTACTCCAACACTGTATAGGAAACTCCTGAGCTCAGGTGAGAAAAGCAAACATATATTCCTGAGCTCAGCTGAGGAAAGCGAACATATATTCCTACTCCGACACTGCTTACTCCGCGAGATTTCCCCTCAGCAACCGAGTCCCTCTCGAGAGCCAGGAGAAAATCCTCCAACTCGTTCCTTTTTGATGCACTTTTTTCCGAAACGATTGAAACCGATGAAGCAAATACATCCAACTGAACATGAATAGCAACACTTAGCAGCAGTGTGGTAAAATATGCACATTGTCAATCACATATGTTGGTGTCAAAATAAAAATTCTGAGAAAATTTTGGAAAATATTCAACTACTTTTCTACTTTCTACTCGAATTCGTATATGAACTTCTATAATTAGTGAGGAAACTCCTACGCGCCGTTGAGGAAAGCAAACGCATATATTCCCACACTGGTTAGCAGTGTGGGAACATATTAACATGATTCGGGTTTTTATTGGGGTACACTTTATCTGGAGTTTTTTCATATTTACTTGGAAATATGTGATGATGATTTTTCATTGGAGTTTCACGCTAGTGATATGAAAAATATATTTCACGACTACTGCATATCACCGCGAATATCGCGTTTTTCACCGAGTTTTACGCCACTTCACGTAAAACCAGTGGTAAAACCCCATTATACAACACAAGTCCAAGACCAACCTCATTTATAATATTCCCAACTTTTTCTCTTCCTTCATTCGCTGGTCCGGGCAGCTTAGACGAATCCAGATCAGCCTGCTGTATATCATCAAATCCATTTTGCATAGCGTCAGATGGCGTTTCCCCTGAAAAGAAAATCTTGCCAATCTTGCACAATCTTGTAATTCCTCAACGCCGCTCACCATGCAACATTCTAGTTGTTACTTCAACAGCTGTAAGGCGAACAACTGCGGGGTCGACTCCTGTGAGAGAGAGACCTGATGTGACGAAAAAATGGTATGCATATCACCGCGAATATCGCGTTTTTTACCTAGTTTTACGCTACTTCACGTAAAACGGGTGAAGCTCCAATGATTTTAACA